GTGCTGGGATTACAGGCTTGAGCCACCGCGCCCGGCTAAAGTCTTACAGTTTATTATAAACCATCTTCTGAAAAGAATTAAGACAACAATCCGTCTGTGAATACCAAAATGTCCAGTATAGTCAGAAACACAATTGACAAAGAAGTTTGGTTATCTCTGTGGTTTACAGTAACTTAACCGTAATTATGATTGATAGCATATATGGAGACATTAGAAATTTAGAAATCCCATGCAATTTTGGAACACATATAAGTGTTATTTACTAAGATATAACCTAAAGAAGATTGAACTTAATTTTGGCAATCCTGTGTACCTAAATGTGTCAAATAATCCTGTTTACCTCTCTTTTCTAGACACTTCAGGGGCCCTCTGAAGTGTTTGAAAAGCTAGGTGCCAGGGAAGACAGTTTTGAAACTGAAGTTTGATTTTGGGAAGGCTGTTAAATGTTTGAGGTTTAAAACACTTGATATTATGAAATAGATTTCCAGATTACCATAAGTTATTTATTTTGCCAAAATGATGACTCAGAAATTAAAAACAAAAAACACTTTTTTTTTTTTTTTTTTTTTTTTTGTAAAAGAGAGGGAGTCTGGTCAGGAGTGCAGTGGCAGGATCTGAGCTCACTGCCACCTCCACCTCCCGGGTTCAAATAATTCTCCTGTTTCAGCCTCCCAAGTACCTGGGATTACAGGCGCCCACCACCACACCTGGCTAATTTTTTTGTATTTTTAGTAGAGACGCGGTTTCACTATGTTCGCCAGGCTGGTCTTGAACTCCTGACCTTGTGATCACCTGCCTCAACCTCCCAAAGTGCTGGGATTACAGGTGTGAGCCATCGCGCCTGGCCAATAAAACCTTCTATAATGCTTTACAAGTTTACCCTTTACAAATTTTGCCAAAGAGCAGATTAGCGCCTTAGGAAAACCTTGTTATGCTTTTATTTCAATGCTCAATTTACAGAAAAACCATATAATACCCTTTTTTGAATTTTGTCACTATCATCACACAGAGAACCTCTTCTGCAAGATTCATTTCCATGGTTCTTCCACCACTTATTTGAACCTTCAGCTTTTTCTTAATTTAACTCAAAACAATTCTTTAACCCTAGGCAAAATAACGTTTGTTTACATTTCCATGCCTTCTTATAACCTTTTACTAAAAAACACATTTTACTGTTCTTACCTTGCATATAAATCTATTTCTAGTAGTTTCAATGAACTGCTAGCAGTTTTTAACTTTAAGGTTAAACTTGGTAAGTTGCTTTAATTGTGTGCTAACTACAGCCAAGGTTTGCCTTCTTACGTAAGGGCATGGTTAGTTCCCTATGTCCCCAGGCCTTAACAGCTGTGAAGCAGGCAAGATAAGACAGTTCTCAAAACCCAAAAAGCAGTTTATAATCTCAAAACACGTTTGGAAACTTTGCACCTGACCTGCATTTTACCATAGTCTTTACAGCTGTTTTTATTTGGTAAAGATTAAAGTCAGATGAACTGAAAGGTACCACAGCTTTTATTTTGCCTTAAAAAAATTAGATCCAAGCCCTTGTTTTTTTTTTTAGGCCAAATTAATTAGAACTCTTTTTATAGGCATCACACACAGTACACACACAGATAGGTGGAAGAAAACCCAGTCACTGGGTGGGGGCCTTTAAAAGACAGGGCTAGGAAAACATGCAGATATCAAACCAGAAAGAAACATTCCCTAGGCCAAAATTGCTAAACAAAGCCTTGCCAGGGAGTTACAAGCCATGCCCTCAGGATGTGTAAAACAAGATGGGAGGCTTGCAGGACAAACCATACAGACAAGCAAAGCACACCAGATTGGCCATGGCCCAAGACTAGCCCCACAAATCCTTTTTCACAATTAAAGCTTTACAGAAAAAACAGTGATAGTTGGGGGGCCTGGCCTAGTAAAGGGAAAAAGAAACTTTAAAGGTTAACCTGTTGATAGGGTAGAGATGGGGAAAGAAAAGAAACAGTTTAAAAATGCCTGAGGAAGAACTTCTTCTTATTCTTATGCAAGTAGTTCCTCCACCAGGGAGAAAAGTTTAATTTCTGTCCCACAGAGTTGAAACTCGTTGGCTGGGGAAGGGAAAGGTTGCCTTGGTGTGGCTGGGAACCAGTCTGCTGGCTGTGTGGGACCCTTGGGCCACGTGTCCCAGTCCTGGAACAGAGGGGAGAGTGGCTGGGAGCTGCTGCTCCCCAGTGCCTCCTGAAAAAGGAAGGAAAAGATCACGAAAAGGCCCTGGACCCCCAGGAGCAACAGGGAGTGGGGATGTGGTTTTCCATAAGCTCAGAAGTCCAAGTATGAAAAGACTTAGAAAACCACAGTTAGAGGTTTTGAGTTCCCATTTCACTCACTGCTTCTTGAGCCCCATGTTGGGTGCCAAAAATGTTGCAGGACTTTTACTTTAATTTAGCTAAAGACAGGATTCTTGTCCATCCCATGGCCAGGAAAATGTAGCCTCCCAGATGGTTTAAAGGGTGAGTAAAGCAGAGTTTTATTGGGTGAAAAGGGAATAAAAGGGGAAAAAGGGGTACTCCTCAAGGTCAGAGTCCCCTGCTAGAGAGCTTCTTACCCAGCCAGAATCTCAGGCTCCATGCTGGAAGAGGCTGGGCCAGGCTCCTCCCACTGCAATGGGCGTGAGCTTCCCAAGGCTCCATTCTAGTGGGCATGCTGGTAGGAGTTTCTCCAGGGATCCCTCCCACCTGGCTATCTTATTTGGACAGTTTTCCTTTGGAGATGACAAAACCAAGAATACACCCTGGGAAAAAAACCAGTGAAAAGAGGGCAAAAAGGGCAAATCTAAATTTAAAATAACAATTTGAAAGCAATATATTTTGAATATTGAATTAAATATTTGCTTCCTTTTGGTAATAATTTTTTTTTTTACATTTTTTATTGAGATGGAGTCTCACTCTGTCACTCAGTCTGGAGTGCCGTGGCACCATCTCAGCTCACTGCAGCCTCCACCACCTGGGTCCAAGCGATTCTCGTGCTTCAGCCTCCCAAGTAGCTGGGATTACAGTTGCATGCCACCACATCTGGCTAATTTTTGTATTTTTAGTAGAGATGGGGTTTTGCCATGTTGGCCAGGCTGGTCTCAAACTCCTGACCTCAGGTGATCTGACTGCCCTGGCCTCCCAAAATGCTGGGATTACAGGCATGAGCCACTTTGCCCAGCCCCTTTTGGTAATAATTTTTTTTTTTTTTTGAGACAGAGTTTCATTCTTGTTGACCAGGCTGGAGTGCAATGGCATGATCTCGGCTCACTGCAACCTCTGTCTCCCAGGTTCAAGTGATTCTTCTGCCTCAGCCTCCTGAGTAGCTGGGATTATAGGCATACACCACCATGCTTGGCTAATTTTGTATTTTTTGTAGAGACAGGATTTTTCCATGTCGGTCAGGCTGGTCTTGACCTCCCAACCTCAGGTGTTCTGCCCGCCTTGGCTTCCCAAAGTGCTGGTATTACAGGAATGAGCCACTGCGCCTAGCAATTTTTTTTTCCTTGAGATAGAGTCTTGCTCCATTGCCCAGGCTGGAGTGCAGTTTCAAAATCTCGGCTCACTGCAACCTCCACCTTCTGGATTCAAGCGATTCTTGTGCCTCAGCCTTCTGAGGTAGCTGGGACTACAGGTGCACACCACCACGGCTGGCTAATTTTTCTATTTTTAGTAGAGATGGGGTTTTGCCATGTTGTCCAGGCTGGTTGCAACTCCTGACTTCCAGTTATCCATCTGCCTTGGCCTTCCAAAGTGCTGGGATTACAGGCGTAACCATCTTTCCCAATTTGGTGATAATTCTTGCCTTACCTAAACTATAGTTAACCAAATTGTACGTGTGCAATGAGAATGGTTATACCAGAAAAGAAACACTTTTTCTTCGTATCCCCCATCATATTTGTTTTATGTTGCACTGATAAGTTACCATATTATATTATTTTATACATGTGAGTATCTTGGGTATTTTAACTATTCCCTTTTTAAAAAAAAATTATTTTTTTTTTTTTGAGACAGAGTCTAGCTCTGTCACTCAGGCTGGAGTGCAGTGGCGCGATCTCAGCCCACTGACACATTCACCTCTCGGGTTCAAGTGGTTCTCCTGCCTCAGCCTCCCTAGTAGCTGGAATTACAGGTGTGTGCCACCATGCCCAGCTAATTTTTTGTATTTTTAGTAGAGACGGGGTTTCATTGTATTGGCCAGGCTGGTCTCGAACTCCTGACCTTGTGATCCACCTGCCTCAACCTCCCAAAGTGCTGGGATTACAGATGTGAGCCACTGTGCCCCACTAACTATTCCCTTTAAATTTTCTTGAGAATCAAAAATGGTGTGACTAAGATTTCTTTTTATTTTTTTTCTTTTTGAGACAGAGTCTCTGTCACGTGGCTGGAGTGCAGTGGCATGATCTTGGCTCGCTGCAACCTCCCCCTCCCAGGTTAAAGTGACTCTCATGTCTCAGCCACTGGAGTAGCTGCCACCATGGCCAGCTAATTTTTTTGGTATTTTTTCATAGAGACAGAGTTTCATGATGTTGGCCAGGCTGGTCTCAAACTCTTGGCCTCAAGTGATCCCCCTGCCTCGGCCTCCAAAAGTGCTGAGATTACAGGCATTAGCCACTGCCCCCAGCTGGTTATTAGATTTTGATTATTGAGCTTAGTTTAGTAGTTTCATTTATCAGAAAACATGTTGCCATTTTTGAAAGTACTGCTGTGGAACTAATAAGACCAAGCTTTTGATGAAGATTTTATAACTTCTAGGTATTTGTAATACTGGTATTTTGTTACTAAAATTTTTTAACTCTCTGGAAAAAAATCTTTTTTTTTTTTTTTTTTTAAGACCCAGACTGGAGTGCAGTGGTGCAGTCTTCGCCCATTGCAACCTCCACCTCCCAGGTTCAAGTGATTCTCCTGCCTCAGCCTGCTGAGTTGCTGGGATTATAGCCACATGCCACCAAGCCTGGCTGATTTTTGTATTTTTAGTAGAGATGGGGTTTCACCATGTTGATCAGGTGTGTCTCAAACTCCTGACCTCGTGATCCACCCGCCTCGGTCTCCCAAAGTGCTGGAATTACAGGCTTGAGCCACCGCGCCTGGCCCCAAAAATAGTTTTTAAAGTACTTCATGTATAACTAGAACAAAGGAAGATTAAAACCATTCCTGATTTACCACCTAGAGATCATCAGTGTCATATTTCCTTTATTATTGCTTCTCTGCATATTTACTATATAGGCAATATATAGTATAGTAACAAAGGAGGGATTTTCTGAGATGAAACCCTTTGGGTTCAGATTTCTGTTCTACCACTTACTAGGCTGTGTAGTCTTACAAATTGCTTAATTTCTCTGAATTTTGAGTTTCACATATATAAATAGGGGATAATAAAAATAGATATTGTTTGCTATATGCCAGGTACCTTGCTAAGTATATTATGTGTAAAATCTTATTTATTCCTCCTCACATCTTTACTTAAGAAGTACTTAAAAGTGCCTTTAAGAATCGAATGGGCCGGGCCGGTGGGTCACACCTGTAATTCCAGCACTTTGGGAGGCCGAGGCGGGCGGATCACAAAGTCAAGAGATCGAGACTGTCCTGGACAACATGGTGAAACCCCATCTCTACTAAAAATACAGAAGTTAGCTGGGTGTGGTGGCACATCTGTAGTCTCAGCTACTCAGGAGGCTGAGGTCGGAGAACTGCTTGAACCCGGGAGGTGGAGGTTGCAGTGAGTGGAGATTGTGCCACTGCACTCCAGCCAGGCAACAGAGCGAGAGTGTCTCAAAAAACAAAAAGAGGATAAATTGAAATGTAATGTACTTGGTATAGGAATTTTATGTATTTCCTTTTTTTTTTTTTTGAGATGGAGTCTCGCTCTGTCAATGTCAGGCTGGAGTACAGTGGCATGATCTTGGCTAACTGCAACCTCTGCTTCCCTGGTTCAAGCCATCCTTCTGCCTCAGCCTCTGAGTAGCTGGGATTACAGGCAGCTGCCACCATGCCTGGCTAATTTTTGTATTTATTTATTTATTTATTTATTTTTTAGATAGACTCTTGCTCTGTCACCCAGACTGGAGTGCAGTAGTACGATCTTGGCTCACTGCAACCTTGCCTCCCAGGTTCAAGCGATTCTCCTGTCTAAGCCTCCCGAGTAGCTGGGACTACAGGCGCCCACCGCCATGGCCAGCTAATTTTTGTATTTTTAGTAGGGTGGGGTTTCACCATATTGGCCAGGCTGGTCTTGAACTCCTGACCTTGTGATCCACCTTCCTTGGCCTCCCCAAGTGCTGGAATTACAGTGGGAGCCACGGTGTCCAGTCTAATTTTTGTATTTTTAGTAGAGATGGGGTTTGACCATGTTCGCCAGGCTGGTCTTGAACTCCTGACCTCAAGTAATTCGCCGGCCTCAGCCTCCCAAAGTGTTGGGATTACACACATGAGCCACAGTACCAGCCTATGTATTTCTTCAAATTGGTTTTACAGAGTATATTTAACCTATTATTAAAACTTACTTTTGATTAAACTTATTAGCCCACCTCTGGTTTATTTTGGCATTTAATGTACAATATATAATAATCTAGCTTGGCATTTTGAAGTAGAAAACGTGGAAGTGGGAAATAAGTTTTGCATTCTATTTCAATTCTAATAAAATGAGAAAGTACTTATTGCCTATGGAACTGCCTTTATATTCTGTAGGAAAAATGGTGTGGTGGATCAGCAATGTTTTCCATAGGAATAAGGGGGTGGTATTGCGAAGACTGTTACAAAAGATTCATATGTGTAATCCCAAATTTAAACATTGTTCCGATATTACTTTTTCTTTTTTTGTCCTATTTACTATTAGAATTATGTGAGCATCAAAAGAAATGTAAAAGTTTTCTGTTTTAAAGCCAAGTTTGGTTGAATCATGGATGTGAAATCCAAGGATATGGAGGGCCAACTGTACTAATAGCAACTTTATGTGTATTAGTAAAAAATTGGAAACAAATGAGATGACCATCAGTGAATGAATTTTAAAAATTGTGTTTTCTATACAATTGAATGCTATTCAGCAACAACATGGATGAATCTCAGAAACATTATATTAAGTGAAAAAAGCAGCCACCAAAGACTACAAAGTGTATGAATCCATTTACATGAAGTTCCTAAAAAGGCAAAACTATAGTGACAGAAATTGGGTCAAAGAGGCTGGGTGTGGTGGCTCATTCCTATACTTCCAACTTTTTGGGAGTCCAAGGTGGGAGGATCACTTGAACCCAGTTCGAAATAATATAACAAGACCCTGTCTCTACAAAAAGTAAAAAAAATTAGCCAGGCATGGTGGCATGCACCTGTAGTCCTACCTACTTGGGAGGCTGAGGCAGAAGAATCACTTGAACCTGGGAGGCAGAGGTTGCAGTGAGCCAAAATCATACCACTGTATTTCAGCCTGGGCAACAGAGTAAGACTACCTTTAAAAAAAAATTACATATATAATAGTATAAAGGGCTATGGAAACTTTTTGGAGTCATGGAAATATTCTTGGTTGTAGTGATAGTATCAAGACATACTGTATATGCATATATCAAAAGTTTGATAACTTTTACACTTAAAATGGGTAAATGTTTTTGTATATAAATTACCCGATGCATCTGAATTCAACATATGTAGAATAATTATTGCATTAAGTAGCAAATTAATATCTTTTTTTTTTTTTTGAGACACAGTCTCAGCTCACTGTAACCTCTACCTCCTGGGTTCAAGTGATTCTCCTGCCTCAGCCTCCCAAGTAGCTGGGATTACAGGCGTGCACAGCCATGCCTACCTAATTTTTGTATTTTTAATAGAGACAGGGTTTTGCTGTGTTGACCAGCCTGGTCTCGAACTCCTGACCTCAGGTAGTTCACCCACTTCGGCCTCCCAAAGTGCTGGGATTACAGGCGTGAGCCACCATGCCTGGTAATATCTATTAATATATCCCAGAGAAGTATATGACTGATATTATTTATTTATTTATTTATTTTGAGACAGATTTAGGAGCACAATGCTTCATCAGTGATACATTAAAAAAAAAAAACAAAAAAAAACCAGAATGGTTTTAGATGGTAAATGATTAGTAAATACATAAATACTATAATAAATATTGTACTTTACCTTGATACCTTGAGTTTGCTTGTGGAAGTGAGTGCAGGAAGGGATGCAGTTGTGAATTACTGTAAACTTGGGAAAGACAGGTTACCTGAAATGAGATGGAAAATTGTATCACCAGGCTGGGTGCCGTGGCTGACATCTGTAATCTCAGCAGTTTGGGAGGCCAAGGCAGCCCCACCACTGAGGTCAGGAGTTTGAGACCAGCCTGGCTAATGTGGCGAAACCCAATTGCTACTAAATATACAAAAATTAGTCAGATGCAATGGCACATGCCTGTAATCCCAGCTACGTACTCAGGAGGCTGAGGCAGGAGGATCCCGTCAACCCACAAGGCAGAGGTTGCAGTGAGCTGGGATCATGCCACTGCACTCCAGCCTGGGCAACAGAGCAAGTCTCCGTCTCAAAAAAAAAAAAAGAAAAAAGAAAAAGAAAATTGTAACACCAGGTGTGAAGAATAAGTGTGAATAACACATGGAGTTAACGGAGGTAGCTGATACATGTTTAAGGTTTGTGTGGATAGGTGTTTGTGTATTTTGCATATATATATATTTTTTCATTCTTTGGTTGCTTTTATTTCTAAAACTAGATGTTGCCTAATTTTTTTTTTTTTTTTTTTGAGACAGTTTTACTCTTGTTGCCCAGGCTGGAGTGCAATGGTGCGATCTCAGCTTACCACAACCTCCACCTCCTGGGTTCAAGCAGGCAATTCTCTACTAAAAATACAAAAAATTAGCCAGACATGGTGGTAGCCACCTGTAATCCCAGCTACTTGGGAAGCTGAGCAGGAGAATTGCTTGAGCCCAGGAGGTAGAGTTTGCAGTGATCTGTGCAATTGCGCCATTGCACTCCAATCTGAGTAACAGAGCAAGACTCTATCTCAAAAATAAAAATAAAATAAAATTTAAAAGGCATGAGTAGTAATTCTGTGACTTCTCTTAAGAACTTCCTGGCCTATAAATTGCACTTTATAAATACTAGTGGAACAAATGAGAGAAACAATATGCAAGATGTATTGGAGAGAATGAGACTAGAAACAGAATTCAGACAAGAGGTTATTACGTTAGTCTAGGCTACCAGCAATGGATAGAGGAAGAGATGCAAGTCTCTTGGATTTACCAATTTTATTAGATTGATGTTAGAGGAGAAAAAAGAGACAAAAAATATCAAAGGTCACATCTAGTTTTGTGGCCTCAGAGACACAAATAATAGTGGTACCATTATCCCACGTGGGAAATGCAGGATGGACTGCTGAGTGGAATCTTGGAGTCATATGGTAGTTCTGCTTAGCTTTTTAATGAACTGCCAACTATTTTTCACCTCACATTTCTGGGTTTTTTTGGTTTGTTTTTTGTTTTTGAGACGGAGTCTTGGTCTGTTGCCAGGCTGGAGTGCAGTGGCAGGATCTCTGCTCACTGCACCCTCCCCCTCCCGTACACCCCACATTTCTAAGTATTGTTATTTTCAATATTATAAATGGAATTTTTGGCCGGGTGCAGTGGCTCATGTCTGTAATCCCGACACTTATGGGAGGCCGAGGTGGATGGATCACCTGAGGTCAGTAGTTTGAGACCAGCCTGGCCAACCTGCTGAAACCTCATCTCTACTAAAAATACAAAATATTAGGCCTTGTGGCGCACACCTGCAATCTGGGCTACTTGGCAGGCTGAAACAGGAGAATCTCCTGAACTTAGGAGACGGAGGTTGCAGTGAGCCAAGATGGCACCATTGCACTCCAGCCTGGGCAAAAGAGCAGACTCCATCTCAAAAAAGAAAACAAAAAAAAGATTGTAGTTTCTAAATACCATTCCTTACTAAAAAAATACAAGGGCTTGGTGGCAGATCACAAGGTCAGGAGATCGAGACCATCTTGATCAACATGGTGAAACTCCGTCTCCACTAAAAATACAAAACTTAGCTGTGTGTGGGGGTGTGCACCTGTAATGTCAGCTACTCAGGAGGCTGAGGCAGAATTGCTTGAACCCGGGAGGTGGAGGTTGCAGTGAGTTGAGATTGCCCCATTGCACTCCAGCCTGGGTGACAGAGCGAAACTGTCTCAAAAAAAAGAAGTATAACCAGTTTTTGTATATTAATATTTTATTTTCAAACTTTGATCTCTTGTCACCCAGGCTGGAGTGAAATACGACCTTGGCTCACTGCAACCTCTGCCGCCTGGGTTCAAGCGATTCTCCTGCCTCACCCTTCTGAGTAGCTGGAATTAGAGGCGCTTGCCACCAGGAGAATCACATAAACCCGGGAGGTGGAGGTTGTGGTGAGCCGAGATCGCAACATTACAGTCAACCTGGGCAACAAGAGCAAAACTTTGTCTCAAAAAAAAAAAAGAAAAGAAAAGAAAAAAAAGTAATACATGCATTTAGGGAATAAAAGTTTGAAAGTTAGAAAGGATCCATGGACTGAAAATAAGTCTCTGATATATCCTTCCATAGATCATTTGTGTATGTGTGTGTAAAGACACATCTTTTTATATAAATGGGTACATATTATTTATACGTTTATGCCTTGTTTTTTAAAAATGTAAATCTTCATATCTTTTATCAATGCTGTGAATTAAATAGTATTTATAGTAATGTACTCATGTATACCCTTCTACCCAACAACCATCCTACCCAAAACTTAAATAGATTTTGAACATTATCCTTGCTTTTCATCTTTGCTCTTCTTTCAGTTTGAAATTAGGTGAGTGGTTCAGGAAATTGATGCTGTGTATTTCTCACCATTAATTACCCATGTGATTTTGAGAAAAGACACTTTACCTTTTGGGACCAAATAATCTCTTAATTTCTTCCAATTCTAAACTTTTGTAATTACATGTAATGTGTATAAGTAGGTTCAAACAATAAGCATCAAGTTAGTTCTGTGTAGGTAAGCCTGATTCGTACTATAATGTCAGATTTCTTGCTGGTATTTTTCAGTTGTATTTATCATTTCAGTTATTGGTATAATTACATATATGTGTGTGTTTGTATGTGTGTGTCTGCTGAGGGAGGATATAGTAGATAGTATGATCTCTACCAATTCAGTGGAAAGAGGCAATTTTCTTTCTCTAAAGGGAGTGCACATTTTACTAAGTTGGCTGTTTTCTAAGCCTGAACCCTCTGACCAAGAGATGTAGGGAAAAGGGCTGTATAATATTAAATCAATTGCTTAGGACCAACAGTGTCCTTTTTGTGAAAATCTGAAGGTTCTTAAAAGATGGAATACCATGACATCATCATTGTTGATTCAAGGAGCATTCCTCAAGTAATACTCAATGTGCTGTGATTATCAGTACCCTCTCCCATCTTCTTTTTGTTGCTCTTGAATGATGTTATTGTCAATTATTTGACTATGTTTTACAAATTTGGAGCAGTTACTTAATTCTGAAAATCCTATTTTGGTCTGAGATTTTAAAATAAATTATATTGGATTTTATTCTTTTATCAGCTTTTATGATTGGACAAAGTGATACCAACCACAAAAATTATGCCTTTCACATTTTCCAGTGTAAATAGCCTAATAAGTGATAGGTTTCTCTGGTCAACTTTTGTGGAACCAGGAATAAATTAGATCTCATTGACTATGTAATTGTTAGTTTCTTTTTATTGTTCACTTTATTACAAAGGACATAGTAAATTACTTTAATTATTTTACTCTAAGAACAGATTAGATAATTTAAAAAAGTAATAATCTGTGACTCACTCCTGTAATCCCAGCACTTTGGGAGGCCAAGGTGGGCGGATCACGAGGTCAAGAGATCAAGACCATCCTGGCCAACACGGTGAAACCTCGTCTCTACTAAAAATACAAAAAAATTAACTGGGAGTGGTGACACATGCCTGTGGTCCCAGCTACTCGGGAGGCTGAGGTGGAAGAATCGCTTGAACCCAGGAAGCGGCAGTTGCAGTGAGCTGAGATTGCCCACTGCACTCCAGCCTGGTGACAGCAAAACTCTGTCTCAAAAAAAAAAAAAAGTAATCTAATAGACTTTTAAAAAAAGAAAATTATATATGCTGTTTCATAATACCTTTAAAAAACTTGTTACAAATATTTATATTTTAAAAGCCTGATTTAGGCCGGGCACGGTGGCTCACACCTGTAATCCTAGCACCTTGGGAGGCCAAGGCGGGTGGATTACCTGAGGTCAGGAGTTTGAGGCCAGCCTGGGCAACATGGTGAAACCCCATCTCTACTAAAAATACAAAAATTAGCCAGGTATGGTGGCACACACTTGTAATCCCAGCTACTCGGGAGGCCAAGGCAGGAGAATTGCTTGAGCCCAGGGGACAGAGGTTGCGGTGAGCTGAGATCATGCCACTGCACTCCTGCCTGGCTGGCAGAGTGAGACTGTCTCAAAACAAACAAACAAAAAAAACACCACCTATATATAGTTTGTCCATTTATATTAGTCCTACATTTTGTTTGGGTATTTATGTATGTGTATTTAGCAGACTGGAAGAATTATGGAGTCTAGGATTGCTGCAAAAGCTCCTCTTTGCTGTTTCTTTCCTGTAGTTTTTTTCATGACAGCTATTAAAAGTGAACAAGATCTGGAGGATAGCCTAGAAAAAAGTAAACAAGACTTTTTTTGTTAGTTTACATTGATGGCTCTGTTACAGCAATATGCTGAATAGGTGCAGGGCAAGCAGGATGGTACTAATTTTTATAATAAAGTAATTTTTGGAACTTGAGTGTGTATAGAAAAGCATTTATGCACTGGGTGCTGTTAACTAGTCTAACAGTGTAATGATGTATTTCAGGGTTGTCTTTTGGGGGTTCTCATATATTTATATATTATATTTTTTACTTTTCCCTGTCTTCTAACAATCCAAACAATATACATAGGTGTTTATGGATCTTTTTTATTTATATTTTATCCTGGTTATAGAAATGGAATGTATAATTTTTTTTTTTTTTTTTTGAGACGGAGTTTCACTCATGTTACCCAGGCTGGAGTGCAATGGCACGATCTCGGCTCACTGCAACCTCCGCCTCCTGGGTTCAGGCAATTCTCCTGCCTCAGCCTCCTGAGTAGCTGGGATTACAGGCACACGCCACCATGCCCAGCTAATTTTTTGTATTTTTAGTAGAGATGGGGTTTCACCATTTTGACCAGGATGGTCCCTATCTCTTGACCTCGTGATCCACCCGCCTCGGCCTCCCAAAGTGCTGGGATTACAGGCTTGAGCCACCAAGCCCGGCCTGGAATGTATAATTTTTGTTTAAAAGTTTGAACATAAGGAAAGCAGACTTGTGATATTGGCCATAATGGTTGCCATAACTACCTAAAAATAATCCTTAACATTTTGGTATGTTGTCCCCTTGTCTCTCCAGATTATTTAGTATATATGATACTATATTGTGCATAGAATTTTTGTCTTTAACCTTTTAATTATAAAATCAGATATAGAAAATATGAAAAATACAAAGCAGCTGGGTGTGATGGTTCATGCCTGTAATCCCAAGCACTTTGGAAGGCCGAGGTGGGCAGATCACAAGTTCAGGAGATCAAGACCATCCTAGCTAACACGGTGAAACCCTGTCTCTTCAAAAAATAGAATAAAATTAGCTGTGTGTGGTGGAATGCACCTGTAATCCCAGCTACTTGGGAGGCTGAGGCAAAAGAATCGTTTCAACCTGGGAGGCGGAGGTTGCAGTGAGCCGAGATTGCACCACTGCACTCCAGCCTGGGCCACAGAGCAAGACTCCATCTCAAAAAAAAAAAAAAAAGGCCAGGCACAGTGGCTCATGCGTGTAATCCCAGCAATTTGGGAGGCCATGGTGGGTGGATCACGAGGCCAAGAGATTGAGACCGCCCTGGCCAACATGGTGAAACCTCATTTCTACTAAAAATACGTAAATTAGCTGGGTGTGGTGGTGCATGCCTGTAGTCCCAACTACTTGGAAAGCTGAGGCGGGAGAATCACTTGAACCTGGGAGGCAGAGGTTACAGTGAGCTGAGATCGCGCCACTGCACTCCTGGTGATAGAGCAAGACTCTGTCTCAATCAATAAATAAATGAAAAAATAAATACATAGCTTAATGATTTATTATTATAAATTATACAATCTTGTAACGACTACCTAAGGCAACAAATAGAACTTGCATGAAGCTTGTGGTCTCCCTACAAACAAATGCTCTACATGTGGGAAAAAAAAAAAAAAAGACAAATAGAACTTGACTAGCAATTCTAGAATCTCTTCTATCGGTCTCACTCCAGTCACAACCCCTTCCCTTTCCCTAAATTAACCACCATCCTAACATTTATAGTAATCACTTCTGGGAGTTTCTTTATGGTTTTATATCCAAGTGTGTACCACTAAACTCTATTACTGAGTTTTGAGAGTGCTTTAGATATTCTGGATACAAATCTTTTTTCAGATATGTGATTTGAAAATATTTTCTCCTGGTCTCTGGCTGGACTTCATTCTTTTAACAGTGTCCTTTGCAAGAGAAAAAGTTTTTAGTTTTGATAAAGTTCAAATTAGCCTTTTATGGATCATGCTTTTGGTATTATGCCTAAGAACTCTGCCTAATCCAAGATAACGATTTCCTCCTTTCTTCTAAATGTTTATAGTATCAGCCTTTTACATGGAGTTTTGAGTTCATTTTTCTGTAAAGTGCAAAATGTAAGTCAGATTTCAATTTTGGATGTCCAGTTGCTGTGGCACCATTTTTCAAAAGATTACCTTTCCTTTATTGCACCTTTGACAAAAATCAGTTGATCATATTTGTATGACCTGTTTCTGGACTTAGGTTTTTGTTTCATTAGACTGTGTGTATCCTTTCATTCATTACCACACTGTCTTCATTATTTGTAGCTTTATATTATGTCTTCAAATCAGGTAATGTGAGTTCTTCATCTTTATTTTATTTTTTTCTTTTTAGAGACAAGTCTTGCTCTGTCACCATGTTGGAGTGCTGTGGTGTGATCTTGGCTCACTGCAACCTCCGACTCCCTGGTTCAAGCGATTCCCCTGCCTCAGCCTCCCGAGTAGCTGGGATTACAGGCACACACCACCATGCCCAGCTAATTTTTGTATTTTTAGTAGAGACGAGGTTTCGCCATGTTGGCCAGGATGGTCTTGATCTCCTGACCTTGTTATCTACCTGCCTCGGCCTCCCAGAGTGCTGGGATTACAGGCACGAGCTACTGCGTCTGACCCCACCTTTATTCTTTTTAAGTTATTTTGGCTAATTTGGAGCTTTTGCCTTTTCATATACATGTTAGAATCAGTTTGTTGATATCTACAGAAAATCCTGTTGTACTCTGAGATTGTGTTAAATCTATGAATCATTGAATTTTTGGATCAGTTAGAAGAGAATTACCTCATAATAATATTGTCATTCACCATAAATACAGTACATCTCTCCATTTAATTAGATTGACTTTGATTTCTTTCACCAAATTAGTATTGTTTTTACTTTACAAATTATACCCATGTATTATTAGACTTAAGTCTACTCAGTTTTTTCCCATTGCTATTTTGTACATATTTGGGATTTTCTCTGTACACAATAATATTGTTAGTAAGTAGAGAGTTTTCTTTCTTTCTGGTATGTATGCCTTTTAGTTCTTTTTCTTCCTTTATAAAGCAAATACTGACTAGAAATTCTAGTACAGTGTTGATTAGGACTGATTAGAGCGGATATCATTGCCTTCTTTTTCTTTTTTTTTACTTTTAATTTTTGTGGGTACATAGTAGGTTTATATATTTATGGGGTACATGAGATATTTTGAAACAGATGTGCAATGTGAAATGAGCACATAGGAAGAATGGGGTATTCATCCCCTCAAGCACTTATCCTTTGAGTTGCAAACAATCCAATTATACTCTTTAAGTTACTTAAAAATGTACAAATATGGAACACTTTACAAATTTGCATGTCATCCTGTGCAGGGGCCATGCTAATTTTCTTACTCCAATTTTAGCGTATGTGCTGCCTAAGCAAGCACCCTTTGCGTTATTTCTAATCTTTAGGAGAAAGTTTTCAGTCTTCAAGCATTACGTATGATGTTAGCTGCAGGTTTTTTGTAGATACCTTTAATAGGTTAAGGATGTTCCTTTCTATTCCTAGTTTTGAGTGTTTTGATCATGAATAGATGTTGTCAATTCGATTTTCTGCCTTTTTTTATATTTCTTCTCTAGTATGTTTAGAATGGAGAATGACAATGATTTTCTAACGTTGAACCGGCCTTGCATTTTTCGATAAATCCTGCTTGATTGTGCTGTGGTATCATTTTTATATATTGCTAAATTTAATCTGCTGATAATTTTGTTGATGATTTTGCTTTTATGTTGATGATTTTTGCTTTTATATTGGTTAGAAATCTTCAGTTTTTGTCAGTGCTTTGGTTTGTTTTGATGTCAATGTCATGATGGCTTCATAAAATGAATTGGGAAATGTTCTCTCTTCTAAACTTTAAGAATTTATGTAGAATTGATATTTTTTTTCTTTAATATTTAATGGATTTGATAGTGAAACTGTCTAGGCCTGGAGTTTTCTTTCATGTACATATGACTAATCAGGTTATTTCTTCTTGAGTGAGTTTTTGGTAGTCTTTATCCCTGTTAAAATAATTTGTCCATTTCACCTATGTTGTTAGCTTACAGCTTTTCATTGTATTTCCTCATCTTTTTAATGTCTATAGGGTCTGTAGTGATATCTCTTTTGTTTGTGTTATTGGTAATTTGTGTCTGCTTGTTTCCCTTTGTTAGTTTAGGTAGAGGCCTTTCTGCCTTATTGACTTCCTCTGCTTCCCCTCAAAGAACAGCTTTTGACTATTGATTTTTTTCCTCTGTTGGCTTTTTGTTTTCTATTTCACTGATTTCTATTCTGTTCTTTTCTTTAGTATTGCCTTCTTATATTTATTTTTGGTTTAACTTGCGCTTTTCTTTCTATATTCTTTTTTTTTTTTTTTAAGGTGGAGTTTCTCTCTAACTGCCCAGGCTGGAAGTGCAGTGATGCGATCTTGGCTCACTGCAACCTCCTCCTCCCAGGTTCAAGCAATTCTCCTGTCTTAGCCCCCTGAGTAGCTAGGATTATAGGCGCCTGCCACTATGCCTGGCTAATTTTTGGTATTTTTAGTAGAGATGGGATTTCACCATGTTGGCCAGGCTGGTCTTGAACCCCTGACCTCAGGTGATCCGCCTGCCTCGGCCTCCCAAAGTTCTGGGATTACAGGGGTGAGCCACCATGCCCGGCCTCTTTCTATATTTTTAAGATAGAAGCTTTAGAAGCTTAGATTATTGATTTGAGACCTTAGTTTTTCTAAAATAGCAGTTAGTACCATACATTTCCCTCTAAGCACTGCTTTAACTGTATTCTACAAATTTTACCTTGTATTTTGGTTTTTATTCAGTTCATAATCTCTACTAATTTTCCTCAAAACTCCATTATTGACTTATCGGTTACTTAGAAGTATGTCATTCACTTTCCAAATGCAGTCATGTACCATGTAACAATATTTCAGTCAACAATGGACCACACATACAATTATGCTCCCCATAAGATTATAGTAATTGTATTTTTACTGCATTTTCTATCTTTTTTTTTTTTAGAGACGGCATTTCACCATTTTAGCCAGGTTGGTCTTGATCTCCTGACCTGGTGATCTGCCCGGCTCGGCCTCCCAAAGTGCTGGGATTACAGGCGTGAGCCACCATGCCCAGCCATTTTCTTTTTTTTTTTAGATGGAGGTACACTCTTTTTGCCCAGGCTGGAGTGCAGTGTCACAATCTCGGCTCACTGCAACCTCCGCCTCCTGGTTTCAAGCAATTCTCCTGCCTCAGCCTCCTGAGTAGCTGGGACTACAGGCATGCACCACTATGCCTGGCTAATTTTTTGTATTTTTAGCTGAGGTGAAGTTTCACCATATTGGCCAGGCTGGTCTCGAACTCCTGACCATGGGCGATCCTCCTGTCTTGGCCTCCAAAGTACTGGGATTACAGGAGTGAGTCACCGCTTTGTTTGTTGTTAAAGAGAAGAGGTTTCACTTTGTTGCCCAGGCTGGAGTGCAGTGGCTATTCACAGGCATGATCAGAGTGCACTACAAACTCACACCCCTGGGCTCAAAGTGATCCTCCAGCCTGAGCCTTCTGAGTAGCTGGGACTATAGGCACCGTGTCTGGGTTTCCCCATTTTTATTAACTATATTAGGGGTATTAGGATGTTGTTCATTTCTTCTCTGTTTTTTAAAACTCTACATTGTTAAGGATATTAACTCCTTCTTATCTAAGTTTCAGACTTTTTAAAAGTTTATTTTATTATTATTTTTTGAGACAGGGTCTTGCTCTGTCGCCCAGGCTGGAGTGCAGTGACACAGTTTCTGCTCACTGCGGCCTCCACCTCCTGGATTCAAAGCAATTCTCCCGCCTCAGCCTCCTGAGCAGCTGAGACTATAGCCATACACTACCACACCCGTCTAATTTTTATATTTTTAGTAGAAACGGAGTTTTACCATGTTGGCCAGGCTGGTCTCAAACTCCTGACCTCAGGTAATCCACCTGCCTTGGCCTCCCAGTGTACTGGGATTACTGGTATTAGCCAATTCACCTGGCCTATCTTTTTTTAAAACAATTCTTACAGATGTACTTCCTGCTTTTGTATCAAGTTTATCCGCTTTTTATTATTTTATTTTATTTTTTGAGATGGAGTTTCGCTCTTGTTGCCTGGCTAATTTTGTATTTTTAGTAGAGATGGTGTTTCTCCATGTTGGTCAGGCTGGTCTCAAACTCCTGACCTCAGGTGATCTGCCTGTCTTGACCTCCCAAAGTGCTAGGATTATAGGCGTGAGCCACTGTGCCAGCCTGCTTTTTATTCTTTTTGGTGTCTTTTACTGTGTTCCTTCCTCTCAAGGTTTCTTTTTTATATTGTCAAATATGTCTATTTCCTTATTGCTTTGGATGTAGATCATAGATAAGTTTCCTCACACTGGTTACAAAGAAATTTACTCATATTTCCTCCTAGTACTCGTTTTATTTTTTAATATTTGTGTATCTGATCCCTATGTAATTCTGATGTTCAATTTGAGGAAAAGGTATAATTTTTCTCTCGTATGGCTATTAGGCTCTCCCAACAATGCATTTTTATCAAATCAGTCTTTTCCCCATTGATTTTAGATGCCTTTTTGAGACACTTAGAAGTAATGTTTATGGTAAGATAAGTGATAGGCATATAATTTTTTTTCCAAATGGATTGTCAAGCTTTCTCAATTTATTTCTTCTCCTTTAACTGTGTTTGTTAAATTTCAAGGTAGACAAACATGGGTTAGTTTCTGGGTTTTTTAGGTTATTAATTTTCTTGTTTTGTTTTAGTATTTTACTCTTGTGATGGTGATAGTATTGTGTTATATTTTGGTCTTTGGTTGAACGAGTGTTTCAATTCCCTATTTATTTCTTGTCTCTCTGAGTTTCTGGAAGTTGCTATCCTGCATTTTCTCTGTTCTTGACAACTTCAATGTTTTTATGTATCATAGTCTTATGCATTACTGTTTGTTCTGTAAGTATTTGTGGAAGTGAAGTTATTTTTTAGGAGCTGCATAGAAGTATATTCTTTTATTCAGCAATATTTATATAATATTAACTGCAGAAGGTAAGGGGTAGGAGCTGGAGAGATGATACAAAGATGAATGAGACACATTGTGCCTGATTGCTTAGGAAAGAGAGTTAAATAATAGCAATATAATATGGTATATGCTGCAAGATGCTTTGGGGGCATAAAGGGAGGGTGACCAACTCTTCCTAATAGACTTAAGATTTTACAAACTTTGTGACATTTAATCTAAATCTTGAAAGACTTTGGGAATTTGTTAGGTAGATAAGTAAGAAGATGCAGATCATGGACCCAGTTAGAAAATTTTAATGTAAAATAATTCTTGTTAGGGTACTAAAACTTATTTAGAATTCTTAAATATGGTCTTAAATAACACTGAAGTTTGTTATTTTTTATAGGTTGATTAATTGAAAGTTAATAGTTTATGTGGAATTTAGTTCAACCTACTAAGTTTAGGAGTGAGAAGTTAAGTGACTTTGCTATGGTCAAAATCAAGTTTATGGGGAAAGAGTTGTCTCTGTGAAATTCATTACTTTCTCTCACTGTATTTTTCTTTTATGTCGGTTAGAGTTGATTAATACACTGGCATATGGTATCTGAACAGAAAAGGAAGTTTCCTGTTGTTGAAAATACTGTGGGTACATTTTGAGTTATTGTGTATTTAAAAAATCTCTTTTATATACTTGACATTCAAAAGAAAAAAAAAAGAAAAATCTCTTTTATATTATCTTCTCTATTGATGAGATAACTGCATCAGAAGTAAATTTTTAAGTATTGACTTGGAAAGCCTGCCAAGACACAAAGATTATCTCATTTTTTAAAAGTGCTATATAGTAGGGATCTTTTTTAAGTACCACAGGTGTTTATGATGATGAAACAGTTTAGGAATTACTGCAGTAGTATCCACACTGCCTTTTCAGTGAAATTGTAGACATGAGATAAATTTGTAGATGCTATCAGCATATGACCTTATACTGACTTTTTTTTTTTTTTTTTTTTTTTTTTTTTCCTATTTCTCTACAGTAGTTTATGCCAGCGTGGCTTCATTCATACAGATGAACCAAGGATTGGGATAGCAGTATAAAATTAGAATCAGACAGCTGACTGCTCAGCAGGATGCCATCAACTAACAGAGCAGGCAGCCTGAAGGACCCTGAAATTGCAGAGCTCTTCTTCAAAGAAGATCCAGAGAAGCTCTTCACAGATCTCAGAGAAATTGGCCATGGAAGCTTTGGAGCAGTGTATTTTGTAAGTGTTAATGACTTGATGTCAGTGACCAGCATTTACTTAATGTCCACTCCTGACAGAGCAAAATACAGTAAATAAAAAGAGTTATAGGGCCAGGAAGGGTGGCCCACGCCTGTAATCCCAGCACTTTGGGAGGCTGAGGCAGGTGGATTACAAGATCAGGAGTTTGAGACCAGTCTGACCAATATGGTGAAACCAGTTAATAGCAAAAATTCCCTGGGCATGGTAATCCCAGCTACTCAGGAGGCTGAGGCAGGAGAATCGCTTGTACCTGGGAGGTGGAGGTTGCAGTGAGCCAAGATTACACCATTGCTCTCCAGCCTGGGTGACAAGAGTGAGACTGTCTCAAAAAAAAAAAAAAAAAAAAAAAAAAAAAA